CCTCCCCCCTCCCCTCTAAAACCCTGTTTCTCAGAGTCCGTAGTCTCTCATGGTTCATCTCTCCCTCCAACCCCCACCCCCCATTTTTCCCTTCCTTCTCCTAATGTCCTCCATGAAGACACTACTTTGTTTCGAAGTTGGCAGTGTGTCAGTCTATCTTTCATGATGCAGTGTCAGTTTGAACTTGTTTTTCCTGGAAAAGTATATGCAGCAGCTCCTGGCTTGACGTCTGGGTTGGGAGCGCTGCATATCAGATTTTACCTTGGTAAAGCTGAATACATTTTCTTTCTCCAAAATACTTCTAGGAAAAAAATTTATTTTATCAGAGTACTGTTTTCATTAAGACATGGTAGTATTCAAGATAAAACACTTAAAATTCCTGTTTGGCATGCATGCCAACTTTTCTGTGACAAGGCAGCATTTGCTTCTTAGAAAATTGATGATACCTGCAAATCAAGAATTCATGTTCTAACCTCAGTACTTAACTAAGACGTGGCCTTGACTAAGCCAGTAGATGTCTTAACTTTTCTTAGTTAATAATATCTTAAAACAGAGTTTAGAAGTAGACTCTCTCATCATATTATATGTACTTTTTAAAAGATGTTATTTATTTATTTGAGATAGCGAGAGAGAGCAGGAACAGGGGAGCAGAGGGAGAGGGAGAAGCAGACTCCCCACTGAGCAGGGAGCCCGGACGTGGGGCTTGATCCCAGGACCCTGGGATCATGACCTGAGCCGAAGGCAGACACTTAACCCACTGGGCCACCCAGGCGCCTTCTATTATATGTATTTAATCAACAATTACGAGGCCCTTTGAAAATGCAGGTGTAATTTTTCTTTGTTGTTGCTTTCGAGAGATCACAGATAACCTTAACTTTCTTTAAGGATGGGTTTTACTCACAGCCAGCTAGACCAACAAGGGAAATGAAATGTGAAGATACACTTAACATTCGCCAACCTGTCACTTTAGGGCATTCTTCTAAAGGCTTTTTTGATAGGAAAAGATCGTTTGAGCACTTAAAATTAGAAATCTTAAGTAATCTTGGTTCGCAGATATTTCTTTTAATAATGTATGTCCCTTTCCAGGAGTACATTTTGGGAGACTAGAGCTCACTGTAAGTCCTTAATTATTTGAAAATCTCTGTGCCAGTATTATGTTTCAGGCAAGGCTACTTTTAGCCAAGTTTACTGAAAGTATTCCCAGTGTTATCTCCAGTGATTTCATCTGATTCCTTTTTATGCACTCTTGACACAGCCAAATTATATAGAGTATATAAAATAAACTGCTGTCTGTAGAGTGGTGAGTGGTTTCGTGATTCCCTTCTGTTTTGAGTGGGTGGCTTCTCTCCACTCTTTATCTGTTACCCGTATCCTCAGCCATCACGAATGTTTTGTTTTCTCTTTTGCAGATGACACGATTGGTGCTGCCTGGTATGGTGGAAAGGTGAGTCACGAGCTCACACACAAACACTAGAGAGACAGAGCTCATGATTATTTATAGGGAGAATCCTTTCTTTGCAAAATTCATTGAAGTGACTAATGAACCTATCATCCATGTCTTAGCAACAGAGTAATGTGCCTGGCGAGTCACACAGTGGAGTATGAATCATCCAGTGGTGGAGGCCTTTTCCACTCGATTCCCTTTTTATTTCCCTCTCCAGGGTTGTGGTGGTTCCTTTAGATCAGGATTAGAAAGTCTGCCTGAGTCACCATCACCAACTCAATTGCCTGCTATTCTGAGGGGGTGGATAGAGTTCCTGGGGTATTCCCCGGAATGCCTTCTTAAAGCTATATGAGCTCAGAACTAAAATCAGTGGAGTTTCACAAAGCAAGACCCCATCTTCTGGTTGTTTAGTTCTTAATGGGTGAATGGATATATGAGGAACTTAGGCATGTTCTATATAAAATGGTTATAAGATGTCAAACCCATCCTTAGAGCAGAAACCCACACCGTGGAGCCCCCTTTGTGTTCTGATTTGAGTTGGGTTCCACTAGGATATATGCTGGGTGTCTTCATTTTCATTGAGAAATGTGTCATAAAGTTTCTTCTTGAAATAGCCTGAAGTGTAAAATTATAATTAAGCTCTGTTTCTCCCTTGGAAAAGCCTGAATGATGTCTAGGCTTTCAAAAGAAACCTGTTGAAAAGATCTGGGCTTGCATCTTGAGCTAGCTTGATCGTTTGCTAAATTTAGGGCTTCACAGTCATCCTTGCTCTGCAAAACAGCTTTGAGTTTGGAAGAGATCCAAAGGAATCACAGCTTCGGAAAGGGCAGAGCCCAAAGACCTTACTTCTGTGAAGAAACCTCTATGAACAGCTAATGTTTATTGTGAACCTATTACATGCCAAGTGTTGTATGGAGGACTTGATGTGTGTTAACTCATTTAACTTTGATAGCCTTCCACCATTGTACGGAGGAGGAAGCGAGGATAGGAATCCATTTTGTTTGGCATCTACAGAGACTTGTGGAGAAACTGCTTCTTTGCAGTTTTTGTTTGTAATTCCATTTTATATGAAGTTTGGTATATTTCAATTCCTTTAGTAAAATTTCCCTTTAAAGCCTCAGACTGCTTCGTGTTGGTTGATAGTGGGAGTGTGCCCCTGATGGTCAGATATGGAAGTGAACAGACAGTGGTCTAACCAGACAGAACCCTAAGAGATTACAGAGAATTGGGGCTGACAGGGTAGAACCCAGGAGGGATGAAATTTTGGCCATCATCTTAATCCAGTTTTGATATCTGCCAGTGACTTGTACTAATTCAGGACAGTAAGTCCATCCATTAAAAACAAAATACTTATAAACCATGGAAGTGTTGGAAAAGGAATTTTTAAGTGTGTTGGTGAAAACCATATCAAAAGAGATGACGGTTGTGAAGTAATCTTGCAGATCATAATGGGTTTAAATAGTCATGGAATTTTAGTACTTTAAGTAATTGAAACCAGCCCCCCCCCATTTGATAGAAAGTGAGTCCCAAAGAGATTGAGCGCCATGAAGCTTCATAATTAGTTAGTAAATGATACGAACATAGGGTGCCAGGAACTTCACTCCTATCTTTAGAGACCTAGCAGCCATGATCTCAGTTCTAGCTGGAGCATTAGATAAAAACAATGCAAAGAAGAGGTTCCATTCATTCAGCAGGCACTCACTGAGTAGAGTTTATCATGGGGTATACAGAAGATGAACTGGATCTTTGCCTTTAGGAAATCAAGTTGATATTAAACTAAAGTTGAGAAATGATCTGGTGAAAAACCATCATAGGCTATGGACTGAAACTGACACCATGAGGGTGATTGTGGCACTTGCTAAGAACCAGTAAGAAATATAAGTGGACTTTATGAATCCGTACTTTCGGTTAGGAAAGGGAACAGCGAAGTCCACTCGAATTAAGAGTTACTAGTTATATTAATTAAGGTAAGCTAACTGCTATAAGAGACCATCCCAAGATCTCTGTGGCTTACCACTCTAAAGGTTGACTTTTTTCCTCCTGATACACAGCCAGTGTGGATCAGTGGTCGGGGCTGTGCTCTACCCAGTCATTCAGGGATCTCAGACTCCTTCCAGGTAGGGGCTGTCCTCCCCTTGGACCTTGCAACTCTCCGCTGCATTTTCTTCATCCAGCTAGCAGAAGAGGGAAGAGGGAATAAGGATGATTTTGTGGGAGGTTTCATGGGCCAGGCCTGGAAGTGGTATACATCACTTCTGCCAACAGCCCATTGTCTAGAACTCAGTCGCTACCACTAACTGCACAGGAGGCCAGTAATGTCGTTAGCTGTGTGCCCAAGAGGAGAGGAAAAACTCCAAGGGAACCGATCATCTGAAAGCCTTCTTCCTTACACATGATAAGTGATTTTATTATAGCCTGCCCTTTATACCGTCCTTAAATGGCATATTTCCTATGGTTGGTTTCCATAGGAGTCGTATTTCCATTGAGTAAAGCAGAGTCCTTTATAAAGATCCTTTGTTGTTGTTGTTGTTTTTCCCCTTTCACTGATTCTACCTCTGATGTATGAGATTTTCTAAACCCTCTAGAACGGTAGCCTAAAGCCAACTATCACTAAACAAGTATCTATAATTAAACTAAGGTATTATTGCCACAGAAGTAGAAAGTGCATAATTACATTATAGAGGAAACTTGCTCTTTCCACTTCTCTGGAATTATAAACATTGTGTACAGCTGGAGCCAGGAGGTGGTTGCCATAACAACCATGGAAAAGCTAAAAATAGCCCCTTTCATACTGTATTGCTTAAGGTGGAATTATGACATGTTATGGTGTTTTAGGGCAGGCAGTTCTCTTTCATGTGGGAAATGTTTGCAAACTTCCTTCAGCAAAGCAGGATTTGTATAATGTATTTGGATTGCTGGTTCTAATTATATGTCTGACCACTCTGTTCCAGGATTCTTTTCTGACATAGAACTGTGTTTGATACGTTTCTCAGTCTTCTTGAGAGTCTGTTAGAGAATTGTCTGTACCAATTTCAGTGTTATATTTAAGCTTAAATTAAAAAAAAAAGTAATGACCCTCCAGGAACCCACTTATGCACTCTCTGATAAGAAATGGAAATAGGAAAAATCATCATGGAGTGTTTTCTGCACAACCTCCCTTACCTGCCATCAAACTCTGTATACAGTTAGCTGCCCACATCGGAGTTGACCCTGCGTTCCAGTCCTTCCCAGGCGCACTTGCACCTCCCCATCTCTCTCCCCGGCATCACAGGGCAGTGCTGAGGTTCCCGAGGAAGGCAGAAATCAGTGACTTATTCAAAGGAGACCTATCACCTCCTCTATGACAATAGTATTTTTACAGAGATGTGACAAGGATACTGCAGCAGTCTGATGGAATAGTGAGGGCATTTATGGGAAAATAAAGGCCTGGCAATTTTTTTATCCAGGTGACAATTAAGGAAAGTGTTAGGATGGGGTTTCCAGAGGTCTGAGGGAATTCTACCAGAGAGCATAGCTATAGGAAGGTATAAATACCAGATACTGAATTTTATAGGGTTGGATGAGTTTACCGTTTGGCTTGTAAGAGGGCTAGTAAATGAAGAGAATATGTTTCTATGAAAAGGTGCTTCCTTATCAGCAGTGGTGTCTTCTGCTTTGTTTTTGCAGTATTTTAGTTCTGGTAGATCCTCAGTAATTTGTACCACTGAGACACCATGGTGTGGCTGTTAGCAAGTAAGCAGTGTGATGAATTAAGAATGTTCTATCACAGAAAATATTACTTGACTTGTTTATTTGGATATTTGTTATAACAGGCTGGGAAGTGTGCTGAAGTATGAGCAACATGAGTCTTCATTATGGAACTTCGGCAAATATTGTTAATGTACCTTCCAATCTTAGAATTATTCCCCAAGTCCCCGGAAAAATGAGAGCTTAACTAAGGTTCGGTTTTATGTTTGTTTTCGTGTGCAATTAAGCGCGGCCCATTTTGTCCTTTTGCTTGACATAACAGAGCTGTCATGAGTCTGGCTCTGCCATGGAAACTGGTTTGACGTCACTAATTCTGCTTAGATGGAGGATTAGAGCCAGACAAAGTAGTTGATTTTAAAGACGGGTCCTTTGTGCCTCACAGTCCCAAATGTTCATCCCCATCTCTACATGAAGAATAGATACTGTATACAGTACAAGGATTAAGACAGTTCTACCAGCGTGTTGTTTATGATTCAGACAAAACTAAGTTGAATATTATTATCCTTGGAGAGAAAGAGAATTCTGTGCTGTTGTGTGCGTGGGTGTGGGAGGAAGGTTTTTGCTAGACAAATATGTGTGCTTGTTGGTGCAGAGTTTTCGTAGAACAGGTGTTTCTCTGCTGTCATTATGATACAATTATAAATGCTTTCCTCTTATTTCCTCAGGTCTAGGTCATTCTTGCTTTAGACTTTGTTGGTCTTGGGTTTGTTTAATGTATTCTCAAGTGCAAATACTTTGTTTGAATAACGTTCCCTCAAATTCTGACTTGTCACTAATTCCAACTAACTCTACCTCCTAGAAATTTGAATTGGGGTAGAATATTTGAGAAACAAAGATCTTAGTTGCCTCAAGGGGTAAACAATTAAAGGAGCATACCTGCATAATTGTGACATATTTGATTATTGGTCTATTATTTTTGAAAATGGGAAAGAAGTTTTTATTGTCTTTAAATACATTTTCCTGTATTGAAATCATTGATTTGGTGAGTGAAGTTTTAAGAGTGAGTTTTGGTAAGATCAAGATTTCATTTTTAAAATGCATTTGATAACATTAAACTTTAATTTTAAAAGACTTTTAAAATGCATTTCATTTGTGAGGAACGAAATTAAAAATGTTAAGATTTTTTGTTCAAGGGCACATGTAACCCCCTGCCAATCTGAGTATAATGGAGCACATAATCCTGCTGATAAAACCAGCAGCGATATATTATAGCTTCTGTGAAGAACATTATCATCTACAACTACTCTAAACTAGCTTTTTCTTCATTTGCTCCGAATGAGTGAGGCCATAGCAATTCCTGGTTACGCGAGAAGAGGTTAAAATAAAATGCTACCTAAAGCCACAAGAATGCTTAGGGCTCAGAAAGGGGGTGCAACTTGTCAGGATTTGGGGTTACTTCTCAGAAAGCATTCTGTGTTGCAGAAGATACCATAGCTCTCTTAGCTTTCATGTGATGGGATCTTCTCTAAGCTTAAAGGTGACACCTTATAATATATCATAAATACACTTCTCTCTCTCTCTGTCTTTTACAGGTTTATTGAGATCTATTTCACATACCATAAAATCCACCCATGTAAAGTGTACAACTTGGTGGTTTCCAGTGTGTTCACCAAGTTGTGCAACCATCCCCACAATCTAATTTGAGAACATTTTCAACACCCTAAAATGATAGAGATATTTTAAACATCATAAATTAATACTCTATTAAAAGTCTCTAGTAACAAAAGTCGCTTTTGTCCATTTTGATCAGAGGAGTTTCTCACAAATATAGATAAAATCGAAATCTTAGATATTCATTCCTAATTACTAGTTTTTGCCTTAGAGTGATTGGATCCTAACTCCTAATAGACACTCTTACTCCTTTACCAATATTTAAAAACAAAAGGCTTTTCTGTCTCTGAGATACAAGCAAAACGTACAAGAATGATGTAATCAATGCATTGACTAAATATTTCCAACTTTCTTTAAAACCCCAATATAACATTTTTAAATTTGAGATTTGATTTTGATGACCAAGATTTCACTGCTTAGAACGTGTGTATTACTAGTAAGGACTTGGGTTCAAAAATAATAACAAAAGACAACAACTTGTTTCCAGGGACACAGTAAGCTGAGGGTCCAGACTTCTGTTTGATGGTTGAAATGGCATCTCGCCTAGAGGCTGACAGATGGACTGGGTGACCTTTGGGGATTTTTTTTTTTTTTTTCAGATTTATGTGTAAAATAACTTAGATTCCATTTAATCATGTTTCTTTTGTTATTTTGCCTAAAACGGATCTACATAGTCCTTTTTAAAAAAAATACTGAAAAAAAAAAGGTCTTGGGGGAGGTAAATTTAGAAAAAGAAGAAGGGGAAGCTGAGTGGAAGCAAAGGAGCCTCACCTGGAGGACAGGAGGTAGGTAGGGTTGCTTGCAGTAGCTGAAGGGGACTGACACCCCACCACTACCCCGAGAAGAATGGATTTGAGGAGGGAAGAGTTGGCTCTTAATTCTGTTGAAAATTCCTAAAACCCTAATTCCACACTTTACCCACCTATATGTGCTTGCTGACAACTATATATTTATAGCATTGCTTTCCTCCAATTAATTTTCATTTATTAGTAAAATGAGTAATTCCTGGTAACTTTCTGACTTCTGGCTTTCAGTAGTCTCCAGAAGTTACAGTAGAAATTGAGCTTGGCCTTTTGGCAAAGAATATGGTTTGATCTCCTGTAGAGTCATAAAATTTTATAGTCCGCTCTTTGTTTTGTGACTGAATATCTACAACCTGGAGGAAGTAGGAGGGCAGAACATAACCATTCACGCATCACCAGGAGGTTTTATTAAGTACCTGTTACATGCTCAGGACTGTGCAGGGGGTTTTGAGGAAAAGTGTAAGACAAGGGCTATGATGTGCAGAAGCTTAGGGTTTTGTTGAGGGAGAAAAACATTTATACATATGCGATGATTAAATGCTACAGCAAGGTAGTATGTGCTGGCAGGCCAAAATAAAGACGTGCAAGGATTATGAGTGTTTCTAAGAGCGAGGATTCTTGGTGATGTGGCCAGAGAAGACCTCCGACAGGAGAGATCCGCTGGAGGAGACTGTAGCTCTGGTCCAGTCATGCCCCGGATTACTAAAACAGAAATGAGCTAATTGCAGACAAGAGCTATTTTTAGTTGATTGAGTTATGCCTCATTCACTGACCAAGGATATCTGTGCTGCTGAAAGGTGAGGGGAGATGTGTGTGTTAGAAAAACAGCTATGTTCTTCTGTTTAAAATAATTCTATGTCACGAACTGTAATTTACAAGCCATTGTGTCTATGATTTCCTTCTGTTTACTTGGTGCATTTTCCTTTTTAGATCTAAAGGGGCAATTCTGAACATTTCCTCTGCCAGTGGCATAGCCCCAGTTCCACTGTTGGCCATCTACTCTGCAACCAAGGTGAACACGTTTTTAGTAAATCATGTCAGAATAAGAATGACGAGAAATAGGCATAGAAGCTTCTTGGAGTTCTCTTCTTGGCTGTTTTCAAATGGACTGGGAAGGAAAGGAATGGGGCAGCAAGATCTCAGATCCACAGATACGTTATTCTCCTAGTAGTCAACTGGTTTTAAAACTGATACAGGCATACCTCGGAGTTATTACAGGCTTGGTTCCAGACCTCCACGATAGCATGAATATCAACAATAAAGTAAATCAAATGAGTGGTTTGGTTTTCCGGTGTATATAAAAGTTATGTTTACACTAGGGTCAACGTAAAAAGAAAAAAATTAATGTTCACACTATACTGTAGTCTACTAAGTGTGCAGTAGCATTATGTCTAGAAAAGCAATGTACCTATTTTAATTAAAAAATACTTTACTGCTTAAAACTGCTGTCATCCGAGCTTTCAACATGTGGTAGTCACTGAACACAGATCACCATAACAAATACAATAATAATGAAAAACTTGAAATATTACGAGAATTGCCAAAATATGACACAGACACAAGAAGTGAGCATATGCTGTTGGAAAAATGGTGTCGATAGACTTGCCTGATGCAGGGCTGCCACAAACCTTCCATTTTGTAAAGAACACCGTCTGTGTGAAGTGAGGTAAGGCAAAATGCAAGGAAACGAGGTATGCCCGATTTTGTGCTTTCCGTAGAGAGCTGGCCTAGGTCAGTTAGCTCTGTTGATCAGAACATGGTGTTAATGATGGGGGATTTGGTTCATGAACGAGTCACCTTTATCCAGCAAAAGTTCCAACTCTGCAGAGCTAAATGGAAGAATTTGCCACCCGTCAGGACATAAATACACATAGTAGGTGCAAGATAGCCTGGGTGAGAGTGGGAGTATTTTGCCACGTTATTCAGAACTCATTGATCTTTATTGTCACTTCTGGAGTGAGACAAGGATTTTCTAGAACTCTCTGTAAGATGTCATAATTCTATACAATATCACCATTCACCTCTTCACATTACTAGTAGGAAAAATTATTTAGAATACATTTCCTGCTGCCTGTAGGTCCATAGCGTCTTCTTATCCATTGTTGAGGTATAGGATACATCTCTGAAATGAAAATGACCATTGAGATGCTGAAACTAGGGAAAAATGAGCAAAATATAATAAGACCTTGTGATATGTCAGAGAAGGAGAAGAGCAAAATGCTTGCCTTCTTTTTCACCTGACTCTTTGTCCACTGGAAAAATGTGAACAGTGACTACTGTTCTGAAGAAGTGTGGCACCACGCCCCACTCCTGCCATCTCCTTGCTTCCTGTATCTCTGAAATATACAGGAGGTAGGTTTAAAATGAACACCATGTTTCTTGAAGTGATTGTTGGACTCGAGCTTCTCACCCTGTTGTGCTCCATGGGCACAAGACTATGATTAATTGGGACCCTAGTAGAGTTGTTATTGATACTTTGTATTTTAAGCCTGAGATGGAGTCTATATTTGAAAAATGGTACATTATATTTTACAAATAGATTTAAAATTTTACTATCAGAAGAAGATGGGCTGTCACATTTATCCCTACACTTTTTGGATCTTGCCATCCCAAAGGACAAAGAGGATGTTTGCTCTTTTCTTTACTGACAACAAAATCCCTATAGAGGAGAGTTGAACAGAACTCATATTGTATTTCCGTTTGAATGGCAAGTGGGGAGGAGGAACATATCCTTTGTTTTATAATAATACATTTCTTCTTGGAAAGTAATTTTCTGAAAAAAAGAAGAGATAAGACCCTCTTCTGGTTAAGTCAAAATTTGGTCTGAAGATTATATTTGGTAAGAGAATAAAATTTAGTGGCAGATAAAAACAACTCGAGGTTTTGAGGGTTTTTTTTAAGGTCTCTTCTGCATTTGAAATAAGAATGATTAAGAACTCCAGTGTTAAATGGTTAGTTTGTTATTTGTGTTGCCATGAGTATAAATCAGGCCGATTGATGTAATGTGTGTGTTTCCTTCTCACTCCCACCCCATCCCAGGCTTTTGCGGATTTCTTTTCTCAGTGCCTCCATGAGGAATATAAGAGCAAGGGCATCTTTGTGCAGGTGAGTGGGGTTTGTTTCAATTGCGTATCCCTGTTTTTGTGTGGTTTCCACAGCAACTGTTGCCGTCTTGGCAACGAACGAAAATCACATTCCTAAGGAAGTGAGTGTGACATCAGCACACCATTAAAGACATGATTTCTTTCTCTTTTATGCACTTAAGTCTAGATTTTAAAAAATTATCCCCTAGAATTCTGAAGTAGGGATACTTAAAGTAGGACTAAGTGCACGGTTTTCTTTCTTAGTTTTAATTTGAGAAAATTGGGACTATCGGTATCTCTTAGCTGCCAGATGTGTAAGGTATGCTGTGATCTGTTCCCAAAGCCACAGTGTCAGAACCACAAGGGCAGGCAGAGCGTGCATAAAGCCCGCGCTTTCCAGAGCACGGAGGACCGCGTGCACCCGGATGACTTACGTGTGGTAGCGAGTTTTCGTGTCTTTTTTTTTTTTTAATTGTGGTAAAAATACGTAACAGAAAACACCATTTAAATCACTTTTAAGTATTCCGTTCAGTGGCATTAAGTACATTCACATTGTTGTGCCACCATCAGCACCATCCCTCTCCAGCACCCTCCCATCTTCCAAAACTGAAACACTGAGTCTATTAAGCAGTAACTCCTCGCTTCCCCCTGTCCCAGCCCTGGACACCCTCCATTCTACTTTCTGTCTCTCTGAACCTGACTACTCAAGGGACCCGCTGTGGGTGGAGTCCTACAGTCTGGGTCCTTTTGCACGTGGCGTTTTGCACTTGGTGCGACATCTTCACGGTCCACCTATGCTGTACTTTATCACGCTTCCCTTCCGCGTGAAGGCTGAACAGAATTCCATGGTATATATACACTGCGTTGTGTTTAGTCATTCATCTGCTGTTCGCCGAAATTAGGTGAGTAGTGCTGCTGTGAACATGAGGTATACACCTATCTTTTTGAGACCCTGCCTTCACTTCTTTTGGATAGGTACCCAGAAGAGGAGTTGCTGGGTCAGGTGGCAGCTTTATTTATATTTATGTATGTCTGTATCTTTTTTTTCCTTGAACTGCCTTACTTTTTTCCGTGATGGCTTACCTATTTTGTAGTCCCACAACAACCTACCAGGGTTCCAACTTTTTCATATCCTTACCAATACTTTATTTTGTTTTTTGTTTTTAAATAATAGCTGTCCTAATGGGTAGGAAGTGGTCTGTCATTGGGGTTTTGATTTGCATCTCCCTCATGATTCGTGATGCTAAACACCTTTTCAGCACCTTTTCAGCTGCTTACTGGCCAATTTATATCTTCTTTGGAGAAACATCTGTTCAAAACTTTCACCCTTTTTCATTTTTTATTTTATTTTTTTTAATTTTTTTTTAAAGATTTTATTTATTTATTTGACACAGAGAGATATAGTGAGAGGGAACACAAGCAGGGGGAGTGGGAGAGGGAGAAGCAGGCTTCCCGCCGAGCAGGGAGCCCGATGTGGGACTCGATCCCAGGACCCTGGGATCACGACCTGAGCCGAAGGCAGACGCTTAACGACTGAGCCACCCAGGTACCCCACTTTCACCTTTTTAATTGGGTTGTTAGCTCTTTATTGTTGAATTGTGGGAGTTCTTTATATATTCTGGATATTAACCCTTTATCAGATACATGATTTGCAAATATTTTCTTCTACTCTGTGGGTTGCCTTTTCATTCTATGGATTGTGCCCTTTGATGCACCAAAGTTTTTAATTTCGATGTAGTCAGTTTATCTATTTTTCCTTTTGTTGCCTGTGCTTTTGGTGTCCTATGCAAGAAATCATTGCCAAATCTAATGTCATGAAGCTCTCCCCCTGTTTTCTTCCAAGAGTTTTATAGTTTTGCTTTTACATTTAGGCCTTTGATCCATTTTGACTTAATCTTTGTAGAGACCTTTGCTTTTATTATGTAGCTAACAGACACAATGCTCTGAAAATATAATACCAAATATGAGAGGAAGCAAATGTAGGGATTTTTATGAGTATCTGTCTCAAAGCAGCTCTTATTCAACACAAAGAAATAATGGCTCACAGTGTTTGCCTGCTTAGGCACATTTTTAACGATGTCTTAGGGGAAGTTGCAATGCGTACCCCTTTCCTACTACCACCCACGACCTGCCCCCACTTCTTCACACACCCTGTTGTTCATCATGGCTCTCATTATTGCGAGCCTAGTATTTCAAATTTTGCACCCTGAAGCCCCAGATGATCAGCCATTGTAATAGCTAATATTTGAAGGGTTACTTTCCAGGCACAGTGCTAAGCACTTTATACATATCCATTATTTCGTTTTATCTTGTAATGACCTCATAAGGTGGTGTGATTATCATCTTCTGTAAATTTATGGAAATCGGAGTTAGAGAGTTTAAGCCACTTGTCCATGTTGAACCAGGACTCAAATCTGAGGCCGTTTGGCACCAAAGCCTTTGTTTTTAATCACTGGGCTCCTAACTTGAGGCCTTTAGGACAGCGCTGAACACATTGGTGCCGTCAGTGCTCAGGCAGTTACGGATTCAGCTCCATTTCCTCCCTTGTATCTTTGGACAGTCGAGATGGCCCGAAGCGTTGTCTGGATCTAGCTTCTAACCGCTTATATCCTATGAGTGGAGACTATAGCTAAGTCACCCACAGTGAGAGAGAGTGGTAGGTAAGGGAAGGGTAGGGCCAATGTTTCCTCATCTTCCAGGGCCATCTTAGAGTCTGCTTCCTCAAAGCCCCCTCCTGAGGTCTTGCCCATGTCGTCCTTAGATGTCATAGCCCTTTGACGTTATTCTGATTTGCAGCTTCCCATTAATACATAGGGTACATTGGAGAGGAAGACAGGGTTTTCGAGAATCCTGAATTTTACACTGAACTACCGTACTCCCCCTTCTCTCCTTGACCCTGTCATTTTAATGCTAGTAGCTGAAATCTGCTGTGTAGAACATGGTGTATTTTGGTGACAAGGAGCCAGTAAAGCATTGAGGGGATGTGAGGTATCACGTGCCACACAGTGTCGTGCCATTTCTGTTGTAATCAAGTTATTAATTTCAAAATTTTTAAACACCTACTGAGATTAAGCAGGAATCTCACAGATCCATCAGTGGGTGACCTACAGGCAGCATGGCCAGAAGCTGCAAGTGCTTGAATGACAAAAGGGAGTATTACACTCTGTGAGCACAGACGAGCGATTTCTGAAATTCTCTGAACAGACAAGACCGTCTCCTCTCTCATTCCCACAGCTTGTTTCCCTCAAAGATCTTTTCTCCATATTCTCTGCCTATTAGCCTGGCGTGACTAGAAACTACGACAAAAACATACTAGCAATTTGTTTTTTGAAATGTTTAACTTTGATAAACTTCTTTTTCCCCAATAATGACTTCTCAATTATGTAATTTCATTGATCATTGTCTTCCTTCAAGTGACTTCATTCAAGGTTTAAATGTAGCGTGAATTTGGCAAAAAAAAAATAAATAAAAGCTCACATGTTTGTGAAGGAAAGTACGGCTATCATTTCTGTGTGAACACATCAGAATGCTGAAGTAGAATAGAATGTCATACTAGTTCTGATCAAAGGGACAGAAACAGCTGGCCTAAATAAAGCTCAGTTAAAAATTACTGGTTTTTCTTTGGTGGTGGTTTATGTCTGCCTGTTTTTTTGGGCCAGGAGTTATTTATTGGCAATTTTCTTTTCCACTCTGTCCCCCATGCTGTTTCCTGGGTGATCTTGCTAAAATCCAAGTCAGGTAATGTTGCTTTCCTTCATAGTCCTCCAGTGGCTGCCTGCGGTGTTTAGGATTGAATTCCGACTCCACAAGGCCATCGCCTCTCTAGCCACCCCGTCGTCCCTCCCTGCGTCAGGCCAGAGTGGACCTGTGGTGGCCAGGACATGCTCTGCCCTCGCAGACTGGCTTCTAGGCTGGCACGCCTTTCCCCTCTGCTCCCCACTCCCTGTCTCCCCACCCCATTCATGCCTGAGCCTGTGACCCATCTGTCTTTCAAGGCTCAGGCCACACTTTACCTCCCCTGGGAAACCGAATCTCAGCCACGTGATGTGCCTTTCCTTCTGCTCTCCTCTTTCTGGTTATATACCTTGGTCTGATACTCTCTGGCTCCCCTGCTTCCCCCCACTTCAATATATTCTTGAGATCTGGATTTTTTTTTTAATCTTGTTTGTCTCTGTGTTGCTAGTGACACATGTAATTTGGGGCACACTAGGGACCTGTCTTTTGCTTGGTATCAGGGAAGACTCTGGTTATGCATGGCCACACTTTATGGTACACAGACATTCATTGTAAAGGCCCTTTGAGCTTCTTCTCTTGCTCCCATAGGCCTCTGGTCTTGAATTTTCAACCTCTGTATCTAGAGGGCTTCCAGGCTAATGCTGTGTTGCCACATTTCAGTTTCTTCTAATCCTTGGAAGGAAAGCTATCTTTTTAGGTCTCCCTTCATGTGAATGTATATCAGATTGCTCTTTGGGGAGAAAAAGAGAGGGTTTTTTGAATTTAGGTTGTTTTATCTTTCCATCTTTCCCTCAACTTCTTTCCTATAATTTTGTGAGAGCATTTAAAATTTCCTTCATGAATTCAGATTTGCCATGAAATAAGCATTTTGTGGAAATGCAAATGAACAGTTGAGACAGCTAATGAAAAAAAAAGGTGAATTTTGGATCTGATAAATTCTGTTCATTATGTTTGAATTGAGGGTAAGAAGTTCATTCTTGAGTAAGCCTTATCTTGTGTTGGTATGTTGGTGAGGACTGTCTGTTCTCATTACTGCCCTATAATTAAAGCCCGGTCAGAATTATGCTTAACTCTTTCAAAGGGCAAAATCATAAGTGATCCGACTGGCTAGGTGGTGGGCCCCAGTACCAGCTCCTTCAGTATGCCACGGACCAACTAGCCATGAATGCTGAAAAAGTATAAGAAATAGCTAAGACTAAGCCATCTTCTTGAAATTACACTTCCTGAACTCTTATTCTGTGAAACCTTCACAAGCCGCCTTGTTTTTAAAAAACTCTTCATTTGGAAATAACTTCAAATCTACAGAAAAGCTGTAAGAATAAGAATATACAAAGAACATTCTCGTGCCTTTTACCCAGATTCACTTCATGTTATGCAGCTTACTTCATTTGCTTTATTATTGAAAGGTAAGTTGCACACATGGTTCTTTACCTCTAAATACTTCCGTGTGCACTGCCAAAGGTTAAGGATATTCTCTTATGTAGCCACAAC